TCTTTTCATCTGTCTAGCTCTGTCTCTGTCTCTCTCTATGGCTCTCTTTTATCTCTCTCTGTCTCTGACTCTATTTCTGTCTGTCTCTCTTTTGTTTGTCTCTCTCTGTCTCTCCGTGTTTGTCTCTGTGTCTTTCTGTCTCTTTCTGTCCCCTTGCCTCCCTCTTCTATTCTCACCTTTTAACAAGGAAAATTACTACTTTGGAAAGCCAGGTGGGTTTAAGTTGCTCCACCAGCAGCTGCCTCAGGGATGCTGGAGTTCACATTTGGTGGTTTGCTAGTTCCAATGCCTTCCAAACCCATGTGGCCTCTGCAAGAGAGGAGGCAGCTGCAAGGGAGAACCTCCCTGTTCTGCCTGATGACAGGGAGGCGATGGCAAAGGGTGGGTGGATCTGGAGGCACTTCTCAGGTGATGCAAAAAGAGCTCCTGGCAATTTCCATCTTCCAGGTGCAGCTCTGAAACTCTGAACTGGCTGCGGTTCAGCTGAGCCCTTGCCACCGTGAGCGCAATAGATCAGGCCAGGACGCGCTTTAGAGGCCTGGTGTAAAGCCGTTGAAAGAGGCAGCACCAAGTTTCGGCTAGGAAACAGCCCGAGCAGGTACTTCGCCGCCCGTTTGCAAACTGTTGTAGGCCAACTGATGCTTACCCTGCACCCACTGCATAAGGGTTACCGTTCCTGGGAGGAGTGTGAATCCAGAGGTACCCAAGAAGCACTTCCTGAGGACGTGGGAGAAAAAGAATCACTATACCCTGGAAGTGGGAATGTAAGTTGCCATACACATCATGACAAACAACACAGAGGTTATGCAAAGAATGAAACATTGGAATAGCGGAAACAACATGTGATCCAGTACTTTCTCATTTCCCTCTTTGCCAAAGCCAATGACCCAATATCCTTTTTAAAAATAAGTTTTACTTTGTGTGTGTGTGTGTGTGTGTGTGTGTGTGTGTGTGTGTGTGTGTGTGATGATGATGTGTCTATGTAGGGCTGTATCCCATGACACATATGTGGAGGTCAGAGGGCAATTTTAGAGTGAGTTCTTTTCTTTGGCCTCTGCTTTTTTTCTAGGGGTTGAACTTAGATCCCCCAATCTTGTGTGCCTTGGGTTCTAACATGCTGAGCCCCAAAACCAGAATCTTAAGGAGATGTTTTCTATTCTATGTTCATTGCAGCATCCCTCACTGTACCACAAGTCCCATTCAAAGTCTGAGTTTGTTAGGAGTGTAATAACAAAATCTCACAGGCTGAGTAGTTTAAACAACAAAAAAGTATTGTTCCAGCCTTATAATTCTGGAGGTTGGAGGTCCAAGATCAAGATGCCAATAGGATTCATTCCTTCTGAGGCCCCTCTCTGTAGATTGCAAATGGATGGATACATATTGAAAATAGGGTACGTTTACAAGGTAAAATATTATTCACTGGTGAAAAATAGGAGTTGCAAACTTCCATTTTATGTAAAGACATGACTCATGTTGAATTAGACTGCTCCTAAGGGTCTGATCTTGGCTTGATTTTCTATTTAAAGACTCTCCCTCCAAATATCCATTCTGAAACCAAGGGTTACAGCTTTGACATACTAGTTCAGGGGACTCAATTCAACCTAACACTCTTGCTCACTCTGTGAAAGCTCAGTGTTCAGTGCCCTGAGGATCCATTAATTAGGGTTTTAACATATGAACTGGGGGATGTGCAGTTCATCCCACATCACCAAATAAGACTTCACACTACAAAAGCAGGCCTCAGGCAGACCACGGGATGCTCCCTGGTTGACAGGGTTTAGTGAGGCTGCTGGATTTTACAGAGAGGAGCAAGAGTAAAAACCAAAGGAGAAAAGATCTGTGAAAGATCACCCAGGGAGTGCGCATCTGTCACCCATCCACAGTACCCAGAGGATATGGCCAGCAGGGTGAGGACTCTGGTGTGTGTTTGGGGGTGGGGTGGGGCAGATTACAGGGAAAGCAATGATAGGCAAGCCGAGGCTTGCAAAGCTCCCCAGAATGGTCTTAGGTAAGGCTTGCTGCAGAAGCAGTTTGAATGATGAGCTACTTCTTGTGGATGACCTCTTCTTCACCGACACATTTGCACAAGTCAGGCTGGTATTGGTCTATTTTCCATTGCTACAGCAAAAACATCCCGAGCTGGGTGTCTTGTGAAGGAAAGAGGTTGTTGAGCTCAGTTTGGGAGGCTGGAAATTCAATACTTAGTCAGTTTCTCCTCTTATAGGGCTTTGTGACAGATGGTGTCAGGGTGGCAGAGCCATGCCTGACAAGATTGGAAGCCAGGGAAGGCCTCAGCAGCCAGAGCTTCTCTCTTGAAGCCAGTGAGTCTTGCACAGACCAACATAGTCTCATAAGAAATGCATTATCCTCTTCCAAAGGCTCACCCTCCACCCCATGACTTAATCACTGCCCACTAGCTCCCACCTCTTAAAGGTCCCATCGCCTCTCAGGACACAAGTGTGTACACATACCCGAATCATATCCAAATCATGGCAGCAGCTATCTGAAGAATGCTTCCTCCTGTGTTCCTAAACCAACTTCTTTCACTTTCTGAGCTCCAGGGCTGACTTCTCCATCACTGTGCATACAGGTTTGATCTTCTATTTTAGCTTAATATTGCTTTCGGTTGCAATGTTTCAGCTCCATGTATGCAGATATTCCGGGATCTTAAGATACTCTTCCCAGATCCCCAGCTGCCCACTCTTAAGAGCAGTCTGTGCCCGTTTCTAACTAAAAGCCCCTGACTCCATCCCCAGCATTCCACTACGGACTCATGTGAAGTCACACAGGATCACCTTTGCTTCCTTTGCTGCTGGATCTAATGGCCACCCTGGGTCCCTCCGCTCATCATGTAATACTGTAGGCCATGTCCCTCTGATTCCCTCCTTCCACCCAGTGGGTAGACTCAACCACTCCCATTGCTTATAGGATAAAGCTCTCTGCCATAGGTTGAACTATGTTTCCTCAAAAGATCCATTGAATTCTTGACGACTGATGTCTATGAACGTGACCTTATTTGGAATGTAGTCTTTGTGGATGTAAAGCCTTGACTCTAACCCAGTATGACCATGTGTCTTCACCAGTGAAAGGAAACTGGGCACAGACTCACAGGAAGAATGTCATGGAAAGATGGAGATAAAGCAGGAAGGCAACCACATAAAGAGGCAGAGGCAGAGGTGATGCCCGCTCAAGGATCTCCTGGACCACAAGAAAGAAGCTAAAAGAGGTAAGAGAGGGTCTTCTCTCCCCACTTACAGGCTTTTGAAGGAACCACTATAATCGATACCTCAGAGGAGACATCCAGGTTCCAGAATGCCAAGACAAGAAATCTTTCTTGTTTAAGCTACCCAGCCTGTGGGTAATTTGCTGTAGCAGTTCTGGACATTAATATTTTTTTAATTACAATAAAAATAAAAGATGCTGGCTACCTGAACTTTATTCCTCACTGGGTCCCAGATAGTCTCTCACACTCCATTTCCACGTAACACCCATGGCCTACAGGCCTGTCAATCTTCAGCTCGCCCTTGTAGTTTTACTCACATTGAATGTTGTGAATCAAGATCCAGTTGGAACCCTCCTCTGATACTGTAGAGTATATGTCTATCAAATTGCTTAATGGATGATGCTCATCCTCTTCCTGATGCTACCGAATCTAGGATCTGAGTCCTCACCTCATTCGCCTCCTAAATCTCTGTCCCTTTCAAAGCACTGTAGGATTCACTTATTCTCAGGGTGACATCAGGTATTTAGCAAACATGTAGTATACAAAATGTGAGGATTGGTGATTTGGAACAGGACAATTAGGGGCAGTGAACTGAATCAACAGGCTAGGGCACTTGCGGCCAAGCCTGAGAACCTGAGTCAAGCCGAGGGACTCTGCAAGGTGGAAAGAATCAATGTGTTCTCTGACACCCCCAACACACACACACACACACACACACACACACACACACACACACACACACACACACACAC